ACAATCGTGTATTTTGTACAATGTATCTATTAAAATAACTGTCAAACTGCTTGCCTGATATTAAATGGTATATAGTCATGTATGTTCACATTATATTTTATTTATAAAGAAGTATTTGTATAACATTTTGTAATGGAGAAGTATTCACATAAGCCGACACCTTGTTTACCGACCTACGTCCATTATGAATAAAAACACGTTTAATTCATGGTAAATAAACATGCTGTGTGTAATAGGGATGTCCTAAGTCCTTAGATCGTCAGTGATATATATCCTGTCTTACGCAACCTTGTCTTTACACTACATCAAGGGGTTACGCAGCCTTGTAATTATCATCCATCCCACCCGCTGTCGACAGGTGTAAACGTGGTGGTGCACTGTGGAGAATTTCAGCTGGAGTCCTCACACCTCGGGTTATTGCAATCATGTAACGCCCACCTTCAATCTTATTACTCTCGTGTGTTCAGCCGTTCAGCTGCATCATCAACCACTGCATGATGGGTTTATCTGTGAAGTGCGGGGAAATAAAAAAAAAACAGATCGAAATAATTCTTATCTCATTTCAAATTTTGGCTATTTACTAGAAGTTGACAGTATAAATTATACATGTGTAGACCTAAATTACAACGCCCACTACTGCACAAATTGTCATGCCTGAAATAAAGAAATAAGGAAACTTTTAGAAATTTAATTTTTAATTGACAATATTAAAGCATGTTACCTAGTATACAAACCTGTTTTTTTATACCGGAAAGATATGAGTTAAATTTCTGGTAATACAATTAGATCTCGTAACAAAAATAGTGTTTTTTAAGGAAAAAGTAAACTACACTAAAATTATTTAAAGTCGATCAAGACAATATTCTTTAAAACCAGATTTCCTGTCATCTAGAATGTTGGAGTCAATTTAGTGAAATACAAACCACTTACCATCTTGTACAAACACCAAGTTTCACGTGTCAAATAATCATTTTCGAATAATGCAAAGGTTACGACTACTCCATTAAATGTACAAACATTGTCTATTTCAATGCCGCAACACTCATCACGCCTTTGTCTTCTTGTACCGTTCGATCACTAATGCGTAACGAGGATGACCGCTGTCACTTACTTCGACTCAGAGGCTGACGAAGAGCACCGCTATGAAATTTGACACTTCGCTTGTCATGTGCGGTATGCCAAACATTCTAAGGGAAGTAACTCGTAAACACGGTTTCCTGCAATGTGATTGGCTAAAAAACAAAATCGTAGCATTCGCCGCCATATTCAAAGCACCTTGTTGATGTGATTAGGAGTTGTTTAGTTGATTACCTTTTCAAATTTGCAATATTTATACGCCGATCGCTTTGGATAAGATCGTCAAACTATAGATAGATAAGCAACCGAGAAGTACACGATATCATGGATGAAGAAAACGTGTTCAGGTAAAGATATAACTTGAATAGATGTGACGATCCCAGGTCGTTGATCAAGTTTAGTGTTTTGGCCTACTGTCATTGACAGTGTCAACCTGGAAACTTGTGACATGGTTGTGTGGTCTTGCGCTTTCCAGAACAGTTCATGCTGCTGATATGTTCGGTTTCAGGTGACACAATCACAAGTTGAAATAGTCAGTCCATACATAGGTCTGTATTTTATTTGAAAATAACAATGAATGCCTTGTTCATCTTGTTCGACTTCCGGTTCTAACCGACCTATTACTTAGGCTGCCAGTGGCCAGATTATACATTCAACCATATCCTTAAAACACAGCGCATATAGGATGTGTATTGTGTATGAATAAACCAGTTATGCCTATAAATTCACAGAATGTGTGAGTGAATTAGGTTTACCAATTTATGCTGTATTTTACAAGACCTTTATCAAAGGAAAAGAAAGTGTGGGTGAAACAGTATATTAATCTGTAATGTTTAATTTTTAGAAGATACCCCCATCCTTTGTGGTTAACCTATCGACTGGCAGCCATGTAATACCTATTTAAAGACACAATTTGGGGGCGGTCGGGTAGCCCAGTGTTAAAGCGTTTGCTCGTCACGCAGAAGACCCGGGTTCCATTCCCAACGTGGATACAATGTGTGAAGCCCATTTCTGGTGTCCCCCGCCGTGATATTGCTGGAATATTGCTAAAAGCGGCGTAAAACCATACTCACTCGCTAAAGACACAATTTTAATGAAAGACATGATTGTGAATTCTCAATCACAGGTTACCAATGCTCCTGTCGCCAAAGTAAAGTAGCCTATACAAGTAGGAAGAGCTGGATTGTTATGGGCTGTGGTCCAATGGTCTGTGCATTCAGGGATTCACTGCAAAGTGTTAAATGAAACAACAAAATAATCCTTTCAGTTAATAGAAAAAAAAGTGACAGCTAATGGACCACATTCTTCAATATCTCCAATTATAGATATATACAATTTTAGGCATATGTCAAGATAATTCCACTTCTTACCTCCCCCAAAGTGTGTGAAAGATACTGTTACCAAGTGTTGGTATCAAGGGAGAGGAAATGAGTCAAGTGTTCACCTGTTGCATCTGCTGTGAACTGTCTCCATATATCTGTGAATGAGAGGATTTCCTGCTGAGACCCATAGATACCAGCCCAGCCCCATGTAACCAGCAGTAAAACCTGGCCTAGGGCTCATTATACAACCAGTCCCTTTCCTCATGGCCAGCCATGCAAAACTATAATGCAGTTCTAGTATCTGTTTAGTGTTGACATTTCCTGTATATTATGAACAGTTGATGGAAATTATAATGAGAGAATGTAAATATGTTTCATTTGTTTCTAAAACAATATATATTTTAAGTATCCCAATATCTTAATATTAGATATATTAGTATGCTAGAAATGAAACCTTTTTTCAACAGTTGGGAACCTATGTGTAACCAAAAGGGATTTATCTAAGGCTCAAAGGCTGCTATTCAGACCCTAGCCTAAATAAAATGCCAGTATTACTTCTCAGTTCATGTTTATATAGTTAAAATGTCAGTATTAATTCCAAATCAATTTGAAATAGATATAACTAATGTTACAGCTTCGTAGAGGTAACTTGTATTTAACTGATCACAGGACCAGTAAAGAGGAAGAAACTCTATTTATATTACTGTTTTGAATGAATTGTGTAGAATACATGCATTAACTATTACAAACTCTTCAGCTTAAATACAATAATAGTTTTGGCCCAGTCTGCCTGCCAAGGGCACTTAGTTGAAATTTTGTATAAATAACCGATTCAACTCATCAGAAGTGGATTTTGATATATATGAGGAGTGTTCACCAGGGCTTCCACTGGTCCGAGACTAGCATATTTTAGACCAGTAAATTTAAATGCTGGTCCGATGGTCAAGTGTTATTTTAGGATCAAATCTACGCAAATTCAGCAACCTAACGCTCCCTGTATGGTACAGTGGTTACCTCCTTGGCCGGTTTCTGATCCTGATCACAAAATGAAGTAGTACCATTTAAAACCCAATTTGGTCAGGACCATTGTGTCTTGTAGAGATCCATAGGACTAGTAGATTTTTCTGTGCTGGCCCTTTGGACCACTGACAAGTTTTGGTCAGTGGCAAACACTGAATAAGTAGTAAAGTACTGGAGATTGTTGCCATTATTGTCACTGATATTCCCGCATAGATGTTTTGACCCAAATGTCCTCACTGTCTACATTGTGGCTGTCCCATTGTAATGATTACCCATGGTCAAATATCCAGCTGATTTAGCATGTTTAGTAAAGTTGATTTTACAGATTCCCACCAAATTTCCTAGGTCATTGGTCATAATAGATAACTTCAAGTGGATGTGTTTTTTAACTGGAATTATTTTTATGTGTAGTTCCCACACTCATGGAGCTCTCAATCAATGTTATCAAAGACAGAATATCTCTTACTAAAGATACTCATACTAGATGTTGTTTTAACACTCTCATTAGTTGGTTTAGCATTTAACTTTTCAGAAGTGGTAATCCAGGTAATTTACAAACATGATAGAAATAACAAGAGACTAATTAGCTGTTTGGTGTGTGTTTGGATAGGGCCAGCAGCGGCTGGAAGGAGCTGGCAGGTCCAGTACCTCACAGCCTATCAATGAGTCGGTGTATAGACAGCAATATAGGTGGCTGTCAGGAGGACATATTAGCACCCTTTGTTTTTATGGTAGAAGGCTACTGAATCTCTCTTGGTTGATTGCCTAGTTTAGCTGGCACTAATCCCTTCCAATAACTCTATTGTTTTATTGCTTCTTTAATCTCTTTGTTAGGAGGGCTAGCAGCGAGAAGGTTTAACTAAATCTTGAGAGGATGTAGGGAGTAAAAGGCAACTGGAAATGCATAATCAGCCTTAACATCTTCAAAGGCAAACACAGGGACACTTTACACCTTTTCAAAAACATTTCTTCTTTGAGGGCAATGGCGTAGTGTTTATGTAATTTGTGTGTTGATCTTTCCCGGGGTTTGGGTGGGTAAGGCGTGAAGGTTGAGGTGTTTACTTTCAAGGGTACTAGGTGAGTGCCTCTTTGACTTGTATACTTGTGTCATAGTTTAGCGGATTCCAGGACCAATGTTACAACCAACTCACAGTCTTGTCCCGGTTATGTCACATCTATACAGAGTTCCAAGTTTATTATATGCAATCTGTCATTTGGCAACAACATTCAATACACAAGCACCTGTCATAATGGAGAATTGTCAAGAGGAAAGATACCATTTGTACCATCCCTGCATGAAATGTATTATTATTAATATATAGTATTTGAACAGCTGAATGAAAATGTTATTAACATATTTAAACATACTAGTTGTATAAAAGTATCTCATAAAACGAGAACGTTCTGCTGGCAATTTTTTTTTAATTTTGAGCTACAGACATAGTTCTTCAAAACCCCAACCTGATTTTATAATAAGTTGTCTTTGTCCAGAAAAGATGAAAGTTAGTTTACAATGTCATTGTTTGTTTCCCTTTACACTAATAACTTCCTACAAGGCTGTTTCTACATCACCAATTTGTGGCTGTTCAAACAAAAACATTGTTTCCTTTCTAAAACGTTAAATATTTCAAGTCTTCATGCACAATAATGCTTAACATTGACACTTATTTCTTAATCCATGGCCCCTTTGAAATAACAAAGGGTTGCCTAAGCTTGTAATAAGACAGGAAATTACTAGGGGCAAGTCCCTGGGGTGCAGTGCAATTTCATTGGCTGATCCAGCCATTATCACATGACCTGGGGCTGGCCAGGGCCCTTTATATGGGGCTGTCTGTCAGGGGTCGTTCATTCCCTAAGATACTCAGTCAGCACTAAGCAATGGATAACCAAGACCCCTGTGCATTTGAATGTTGTGAGGCCAGCAAGGCTGAAATATTTTATTTCACTGACTCTTTGGAGTAAGTTGGAGACACCCTCTTGTGCCATGTGGTACTGTGTGTGGATGTGAGATGGGCATTATGTCCCATCATGTGGAGTGTTTTATTAGTACCCAAGTCAGACATGCATTTAAAAGGACAATACTTTCAGTTGTACTTTCTACTTTGCACAAATCAGGATTTCTAAGCAGGGATGCAAATTAGCAGAAATATCACTAGCTCAATTCAAGGTGTCTTGAGGGCTAGTAGAATGGCATACCTTAAGGATATCTGTTAATACCAGTTAGAAAATGCTCAGGTTCACCAGCTCCCCTGCTAAGACGGTTTAATGAATAGTAAGACGGTTTAATGAATAGTAACTTGCAAGAATAGGACTGGAACTGGTTACTTTTTTCCCCCTTGTAAACCTTGTTGAAAGGAGCGCTAGCAATGCATTTGGGGATTTGTATTGTTGGTGTTTCATGAAAACATGATGAAAAGGTAGAACTTTATTAAGGAACAAGTAGATTACTGAATTAGTATTGAGACATTGTAGAAATATTATAAAAATTAATTGTCTTTCAGAATGCCTGAGAAAAGGAGCACAAGACGGAATTCAATATCCGCCATATTTGAGCTTCCTCCTTTTGTAAGTATATTTTTCAACCGTTACAGAGTATCAATATTTCATCATCAGTACTTTGTACTACTTACTACATGTTAGATACTTATTGTATAATAAGTCAAGTGAAATGTTATTTTTGTGTTCTCTTCTAAATCATGACTGCCACTTTTTGTAAAATTTGCTTGATGTAATGGTGGCAGGCATGAATATTCCTAGCCATGCCAGAATGGGATGATGTTTTATTTCAAAGACAAATATGTATATAAATATTGTTTGTTTTCATTGATTCAGAAAAAGCGAAAGAGGAAAATAGATGACGATGCACTGAGTGTGCAAAGCTTGGACATTTCTTTGACAAAGGTAAGCTTCACTTTACTTCCTGCGTGTTTAGGTTTAGGATATAGAATGTCAGTTATGTGTGTGGAAAATAGCATTGGGGAATATGTCTTGTTGATAGTATAATACTTTGGAGTATTAATGAAGCTTGAAAAGGTTAACACATGTTGTTGCTTTGGTTTCTAAATAAAATGTCCATTTAGTGGCAAACAGTTTCATTCCGAGGAAAACAACGTATTTGGTATGATATTATGTTAGTAACGCATACACCACCAAGATGAGCTCCTCCAACCCAGTTCATTGTTAAAGACCTATTTCAGGCCAGTGATGCAATTGTTCCATGAGACCTGGAGCTGTTTACTCATGTACTCTCCAAAAAAACCTGATTTCTTCGACATCCTGAAATAGATTCAGAGTCAGCTGTTGATGACAGAATTAGTAGTGGTTCTTGTGCTTCTTACTGGCAGTGTCGCTATCACTGGCATGCTGTATTGATCTGTACATGGAGCTATGATGCTGCGACGTGACGTCAGAGCACAGCGAAGACGCTGTGTAGTCAATGCTCCTTCCTTTCAGCAGCATTCCTGTGTTTGCCTGCTCTATATTGGTGACAAGATGAACTATTTCTAATATCTGGATTTAAAATTGGGTTCCTGATATGCAAGCATTTTGTGCCTCTCAAGTACACGTCATACTGATTTCAAAGCTGTCTTGTATGAGATGTCATAGTGTTTGTCAGACTGGTATTTTTAGTATGAGTAGTACCAAGTCTTTTACGTCCCATTAACAAGCTTGCCCAAGCAGATGGTCTATAGTCAAAGAGGCTTTGTTCCCACAGAAATTATTATACAGAATAATATGTTGTTGATAACATGAAAGTTATTTTAGGTTGATGAGTTAATAATTAGCAACAAATATTGTTTATTAAATCAATCCCTTGATTTTTTTATGACTATGTGTTCCTCCTGGCTACAAATGTTTCTTTCAATGCACCTGATGCAGATATGTTTTGTTTTTTGCTGGGATGCTTACTTGTGCTAATTGGAGTAGACACTCTAGTTTTTAATTTAAATTCAGAACACTTTACTAAGACCATTACAAGATGAACATATATTTAATAAAAGTATGCCCTGAATTATTATTACTTTTAAGAAATAGAATTAAAAGTTTATTTTATGTGTTTCTCGCACATAGCATGCTAACAAACAAAAATAATTAAGATAAGCCATGAAACAATAATAATCATAAATAACAAGTTGAATTTAAGAGACCTGAAAAGGTTTTGTTTTTCAAACTGTATAAATACAGTAATTATTTAAGGTGGGTCATAACATTACGTAAATAAGCAATGTAGGAAGAATTGATCTTTGCCTTTTAAAGGATAAACAATACCTATCTGTATGGCATTGAATGTCATTTTGTAATCATGGGACCGAACTGTTTGACACTGTATCTAGGGCTTGCATGTGAACATCAACATGCCATATATGGCTTATTATGGGTGTCTCCAAATAACCAAATTAGCTAACCTTGAAAACACAGAAAGTTGTTCCAACTCCATGATAACAGCGTGAAAATGCTCATTACAACAGCGACGCTGCTCGTCAGTGAGCGTAGTTGTAAGCGTGATGTGACGTCACAGACAGTACACTTGTCTATTTGCGAGTAGGAGGTTGCCGCTGATCATTACCTCGTCACAAAGCGATGGAGTTCCGGTGGATCAATAGTTGCTACAGCAGTGTTGTTGCGTTGTTCTCCCCAACATCCAAGCCACTGGGATGATTTGATCAGTTTATTACACTGACTGGAGGAGAACGGTTGCATTAAACGATGGCTGCTCATCTTGAGCCTGATCTATCCTTCTACTGCTCCAGCACTGGGCCACTGTTTGTAATAGGTGGAGATTGTCACTGCAGTGCACAGGTAAATTATTGGAACTGTCGTTAGTGTCGTACTGAACTTTATGAAATTCTTGCACAACTTTTTGAAACTTTTCAAATGTGGATCTGTGTTCCTGTTATCTGATTATAAATATCATTCTTTAATAATTAATGTTTTTTCTTACAGAAAAAGAGTCGCAGATCCATTTTGAGAGTATCTTCACTTGTGAATCTCTTGTCGCCAAGCAAATCTGCATCTGGCAAGGTAACATTGATTATCATCAGTCTACATTGAGTCAATTGTGAAAAATAAACTAAAGAAGCCTCAATTCAATGAAATAATAAACATGATAAAACTTTAAACAATTTTGTTTTGGTGGACGAAAAGTAAATGACTACCTGTTTAACAATCAGATGATTTTTTTTTCAGCGTTTCAAGGTCCCACCCACCCCCAGCAGACAGAACCTGTCCCCCTACAAGGCCCCCCAGCCGTCCCCTGCCAAGCGGCGCCTCACCCGCACCTGGAGCGACATGATGGCAGATGGTGGCAACCTCCATACCCTGACTAACCGGGATATCAAGAGGCAGGAGGTCAGTTGAAAATATTTTGTCTACCTGGGCCCACTTGCACAAAGCGATCTTAGCGCTAAGACTATCGTAAGCCTATGTTAAAGTATGGGAGTTACGATCATCTTAGCGCTAAGATCGCTTTGTGCAAGTGGGCATTGGAGTAAATGATAGAATATCAGAATGAGTAGTTTGAAAAAAACCCAAATCAAATAAACACTCCTCTACACGTCTGAAAATAATTTCGCCAACTAATTATAAACTATATATATATATGTATTAGATAAAATTATGCTGAATGAGAAATATTTGTGTTGACTTTTTGAGTCTCAAACGTTTGATTCAAAAAGAATGTTTTGAAGATTGTAATTTGTTTCAGTTTGAGACCATCTCAAACAGTTTTCTCTTAAATTATTCCAGAAATGTTTAATTAACTATGTCATGCCAACCTTAATAACAGAAAACTCACTTAGAATTATTTCTGTAACATATTTATATATAATTAAATGTAAAACACAATTCCAATATTCCATGGTCTCCCTGCTCTCAATAACAACCTCTTGTACATGGTAAACAAAATCTTGTAAGGTTAATGGCAGTGATACGTCTGTATATGGACCCGACTGTATTCCCCCACACAAGGCTTGACTCTAAAGTAGGGTTGGGGCACTTCTTGACGCTTACTCCTCCTCCAGAGAATGCCAGTCTGATGATCACTCAACTTGATGGACTGCTCTGTGTGGGAGTCTTCAACTTACAATGATCACTCTTTGCAAACCTTGTAAATATCCTGGTTAGATCATCCCCACATTTAATAATATTAAAAAAAAATTTGTACATTTTTTTAATTAAAACCACACTTTTGTTCTAGTAATTGCTTGTAATTGTAAATGGTCATGTTTATAATTCAAAATATTAGTAACCACCACTGATTGATAATTCCTGTATTACCATTGGTGAAATTGATTTGTTCTTTGTACTAATGACTTTGCCATGTTGATCATAGGAAATCTTTATATTAACTGAGATAGTTGATTGCTTTGAACATAATGGTAAGTTTACACAACTGCAATTGTTGTAACAACCTCAATGATTTGTTTTGCTTGTTGCCTTGGTGACAGTTTGAACCCAAAATAGGCTATCAATAAGTTATAACAATTCTTTATCAGAATAGCAGGAATCGATCCCTTTGATAGACCAGTCGTGGTCTGCTACATGACTTGGAAGGTTATTTTTGACCATTGATTTTTACCTGGCTTATTTTTATATATTGATCTTAAAAATGAGACGGTATTGTACCTTAAACCAATTTTGTTAATCTGAAATCTCAATAGTCTGGTTATTCTTGGAGATTTATCTTGATTTAGTGCATCTGACCTTGTATTGTATCCAAGAGAGAGATATTGTCTCAGCAACTACAGTACACGAAAAGGCTACTTGCTTCCAGGATGCTATTTCAGGAATCAAATTAGATTCTCGCCCGAATTCATGAAAAATTAATGAACTAAAGGTGCTGATTTGCGTCAGAATAGTGTGTCTTTTAGATTAATTGATTAATTTCACATTGGTTTTACATTTTGAGTTTTCAGCCCAGAATTTCTGGACATAAAAAGTGATTTCAACAAAATATAATTCACTCAAAACGGCTGGATATCTCTTTTTTTTTACTGGTTGATATTATTGCATAATGTGTGTGAAGAATTGGTTAAGGGTCTTTTCATCCTGACAGCGGTGTCATTTGTAACTGTTGTACTTTGATGCTTCCAAGTGTGTGGGGGGGAGCATTACTATTGGTCACGATTCCTGTAGGCAGTTCAAAGAGAATGTTCGTTTACGTTGAATTCCCTGAAGAATTATCCCATTGAAACAGTTGTGACGGTAATGACTCTCGACAGAGTGTATTAGATATAGAAACCCACCACTGTGTGTGCCCTGGCTGAAGGAATCAATAATGGCTGCTGGCAGCATGCATGGTAACTGAATGGAGGGCTCTAAATTGTCTCGGCTGGAATTTAAACAGTCCTTTGACCATATAAGGAGAATTGAGGAGTGGCGCCGCCATGTGGGTGCTGCAACTGAATTTGTAGAAAATTACTTGTTACGGAAAACATTAGTATAATAGAAACATTATTAATACAACTGAGATTTTGAAGTCACACTTCAATCTAACTGAAATAATTAATAAGTGAATGATCTATAAATAGATTTGATTACAATAATATTGTTCTACCAAAAAGTAGTGTTTTGACCTTGAATTCATCACTGTACTTATGAATCTTATTACTGTTTGAGTTATTTAAATATAATTACACTTTAATAGTGAATCGATGTAGGGCAATAACAATACTGAGAGCCGAATGGGAGTTTGATCTCAGTCTACAACTTTTGCGACTAGTCCAAAGCCCAAATCTTGAGAAATTCAGTCTAGCAAGCTCAGCTAAAAAAAAGTCTATATAATAACAATAAAATCAACTGAAAATGATGCCAAAATCAACTAAAAATAAACCCTGGAGACGTTTGATTGGTAGACTGCTACGTCTAAGGGGTTATGCAGGATGAATCTACAAATCTAAAACATTTCTACAAATCTAAAACATATTTAGATTATACTAAAACTTTTACTTATCCTGCATTACTCCTTAGACGTAGTGATGCAGGATAAGTATTCAAATGTAAAAAATATTTAGATTTTTCTTATTTTATTAAAATAGGAAGCAAATTCATAAACAATTCAACTGCTTTTTGAAACCTGTTTCATAGAGTCTGTTTTTTTCTAGGCCATCTATGAGCTGTATCAGGGCGAGCAAGACATGATTGAGGATCTGAACAATGTCCAGAAGGTGAGAATAGATGTGGACTACATTATATATGTCAACATGTTTACAGCAACACAAGCGTCAGAAATATATAGATGTACAAAGTTGTTTGTAATTGAATTGAGATAAGATCATTCAGTGAAACTGACACCACATGTTCTATGCGTCATAACACATGTTATGCCGGTATGTATTGACGTATATCACACAGCTGATACAGTGAGCATGTGTTGCTATTGAATGTTAATGTTAGGGTGAAGGTCTGTCGTGGCATGGTGTAGTGTATAGTACACAAAACATTATTTATAAATTATTGCTTTCTTTCAGAACTACAATGACTCAATGGCCAAACTGCAGTTGATGACGACAGGAGAACTCAAGCAGATATTCGGACCCATCAAGACCCTACCTCAGGTTCATGAAGGTGAGGCCCAGTGATGGTCATGATAATTATAGTGGTAATAATTAACCTGTTAATATACAGTACTTAAAGAGTTTATGAAATTGAATGTAGTAGAGGTTTTATATCTTGACATATTTTATGTATTGATTTTTTAAAAAAAATTTCAGACTTAGTATCCCGCCTTCAGAAACATAGACTACCTGATGGCACGACACAAGGTATTGGAGGGGAAGTCCTGGAATGGGTAAGAACGGATCAAATCTATATTAATGTTTATTATCTATATAATTTGACAAATTGTGTAAGTTATTGAACACATCCTGAAACATCTTTAAAGTCACTAAAACATTTTTTTATTTATTGAACCTTAAATATTTTTACAATTTTTTATTATTATTTTTTCAGATTTCGTCCTTGGATGCATACATCGAGTTTTGTGCCAACCAGGTGTTTGGCAAGGCACTCTTGGATGAGAAGAAGAGTGACCCCGCTGTCGACGACTTTCTTGAGAGATGCCAGGAATCTCCCTTCAGTCGCAAACTGGACTTGTGGAGCCTTCTAGATGGAGCAAGGAGCCGATTTGTGAAATACCCACTGCTCATCAGAAGTATTCTCAAATATGTAAGTATTACTATATAGGTGGCAATAATAAATGATTCAATACCATATGTAGGGGATATCCCAAATCTAATATTGAATTTGTTGATAATTTATGAACATTTGTAACAGTATTTTAGATCTTCTATATATCTGATAATTTATGAACATTTAATAGTATCTTAAATGTTTGATGTATCCTGATGACCTGCAATACTTTGTTTAGTTATGTCATTTAATTATTGTGTTTTTCCTTTTTGCAGACGCCTGAAGATCATGAAGATGCAGGTTACCTTCAGGAAGCTGTAAGTAGTCAAATAGTTCATCCTTAAATTTTCCGCTTGTTTTCATTTAAATAATAATGTACACAATAACATGACTAATTGAGTTGGGTGTTAGTATTGAGCATGTTTACATGGAGAACGTGACAGGATACTGATAGTCTCTTCATTTGTTTTTCAGATAAAGTTGGCAGAGTTCTACATCGCTGAGGCTGACAAGAAGACTGGAGAGGCTAAATGTCGCTACTACCAGTCTCGTCTCACCTACATATACGATGATCAGAAACTGACAGAGATAGATGACTCTCACAGCCTCATCTGTAATGGAGTGCTCAAGAACAACAAAGGAAGCGTAAGTCTTCATATCTTATTCAGCTGTGTTATACTAATTTCAGTCTGCATAATATTCATCGGTTTAGTCCCCAAACGGAAGATGGGTACAGTGTGTGAAGCCCATTTCTGGTGTCCCCTGTCTTGATATTGCTTGAATATTGCTAAAAGCTGTGTAAAACCAAACTCACTCACTCACCCAACGGAGAAATTAGCCTCTTTTTGCCCATGGCAAACTGACACAATATAAACATCCTTTGAGAAAATTAATTTTTGTTATATTAATCAAAATCATTAAACAAAAAAAAAATTGAGGGTTTTTACATACTGATTCTGCTCAGATTGTGTGTCCACAAATTAATCATGTTTTGGGGAAACTTAAGTTCTTATGTTCAGTTATGTAAATATTAACATCATGGTGAGAAACTAGAGGGTTTGTCGGTACAGATTTTGTTCACATCATGTGTCAATACTGCCAATGCTAACTTGATGTTTCCCTCTGCAGAAGCTGCACATGTTCCTGTTCGACAAGGTGCTGGTCCCCACGCGCCTCACCAACCAGTACGGGTCTCAGATGTACCAGGTGTACCGCCAGCCCATCCCCATGGAGGACCTGGTGGTGGAGGATCTCATGGAGACCGAGATCAAGATGGGGTCCTTCCGGTCCGCCTTCAGTCAGACACAAACAGGTACGTGTCATGTTATTTCTGATCAGAGAAGGGACTCATTAAAGCTATTATATCTTGAAGTTAGTAATTTGTTTAAAAACGTTAAACGAGAAAAGAAAATTGACACCTTTCATGCAAATTCTGCATTTGTGTTTATGTACAATTTGACTATTTTCTATTGCAGTACGGAATGTCCTGAAAGTTTCATTCAAGGACAGCACAAAGGGCCAGTCACACACACTCTTTGCCAACGATGAACACGATAAGCGCCAGTGGTTGGCATGTTTCCGCCAGGTCACAGACGAAGTGCACACGATAGCACCGACACATTCTGACAAACGGGCAGCCTAGCCAATCAAAATGAAGCCTGCTTTCATCACTGCCAATCAAAAGTGCTCTTTGGATGGTCACCTGACCATCCTTTCACCAACAGACGAAAGACCGGAGTGATATTACAAGTGCCAAAACATTTCACTCTCTGGAACAACCTAGTTCCGTAGTGTGTGACGTACAGTGTGGTCAACTGTGTACTCTGCAGCCGTGGTCCCTTGATTCTTGCATTTATTCTTCATGGATACTGAACACATATTTGTCCTTGTGATATTGTGAGAAGTCCATATATTTATTCCTCTATCTCTGATCTCTTCACTCTATCCACTCAACACCATGAAAATGGAACGTGAATTTCCAGTTTTGCTGTGTGTCTTTGGAATTAATGCTGTCTTGAGTTTTGGCCAGCTGTCAGATTGATATTGACGGTCAATGGTCTTTGATTTTTGTTGTTGTTTGTTAAAAGAGGCAGCATTGATGCATTGTTATGTTAATCAAACCATCAGCCTAAAGTGCTCAGTGTGCAACATGGAGAATGGAAACAGAATATCATATCACAATCACGATTACAATTCATTTATAATACCAATAATTTGCCAAAATATGTTCATATTTATTAATTGAAAGGACTATTCTTGAATGTCTGGTTTCAATAAGTTCCATGATTTTGGTTATTAAGAAATGTAGCTTAGATATATATCAACTAATAATCCTAGACGAAGAATACTCAAGGTGCCGGGTTAGAAGCTTTTATCACATACAGATAATAGTGGAGATAGTAATTCCAGAATTTTCTATAATGGAAACTGAAATATTGCATATATTAAGAACATGCCTTGTACAAATCTTGCTCATGTGGTGATTCTAAACCAAATCTGTATTGATAGAAGCAAATGGAAACTTTGTTCAAAATGATATACTTTCAGTAAGGGTTCTGTGCAATTGTGCTGTGTGTAGCGAGCGTCTACAACATCTAGTGCTCGTTCTGTAGTTTCGCTAGTGCATAGTCACTAAATGCATAATATGTCGATGCTGACTAAACATGCTTTAATTTAAATCAGTTTATAGGTGGATGTTTTCAGTCCTTTGTAACACTTGCTCATGTTTTCTTCCTTGCTCATTTGTACGAAATACTGTTCTCCGACGAATGTAGTGTGTTAGTAGTACACTAGTTGGGGTATTGTTCAGTTTTGTTCAATAGTATGGATGCAAACGTATTGGTGAAATTGGCCTCAGATTTCCCTTAAGTTTAATTTATGCAATCCAGATTTTTTTGTATTTTTGTATTTTTCCTGTTGTTTTTTTTTCAACATCTGTATTGAAGATACATACTGAAGTTTCATTTACCTCATGTGTCTACATATCAGTGAATGGCTGCTGATTTCATACTATGTCAATTGGGGCAATTAGCCCTAACTAGTCTATTTTTCCAATAATATTTTGTTCAATTTTTTAAATATTGTAATCTATTTTTTTTATAAAAATATGCGACTTTAACAAGAGGAAGAAGCTAAAATTCACCTCTCCTCACGTAAATCTATCATCACAAATTTTTTAGTTTGTTAGGCTGTACAATTCAACAGCTTTACAAATTAATCTAAAAATATTATCGGTGTCATACTCATCAACTCATACAGTACTTCCATTGTTTAGCAATGACAATGGATTGTTTATCCTACATTTACAAAATCCACATCTAAAAGATCATCCCTGTAGAAAATGAAATATTTAATGCCAAAATATGGCAACTGTTGTGCCATTCCCAAACACTTCTTATAAATTGAAGGAACTGTTTCCTGTATTCCATTCAACATTGTACATTACTTGTTTTTATTTTATATATACCAGATTGTATATATTCCCCTCAAAGGGTTTGTACATACATGTATAAAGCACTTGTTGGATGGGCTCAAGCAGGAGTATTGTCCTGAAGAACTATATTGGATGTCAGTATTGACCAACACATGCATGTGATGTGTATGTAAGGGATTGGTGTGTTGGATCCGTGTGCAATCCTTGGAACGACATTCATGTGCTCATTGAGATGCGGTGTACAATAAGTATGTAAATAATAGTTGAAAATAAATAGAAATATCAGTACATATGAACAATATGTGGTTTGTTATTCTGATGCTGCATTACATCCCGAACACTGTGGATTACTGCATAATTGAAAAATATATACTACTCGAAAGAAGTCAAAGAACACCTGATTCTTCATATTACTATAGTTAATCTCCTGTGACAGATTATCTTAAGTCATACAATAGGATCTGGTGTTGATCCTAGTGATTTAGCATTATTAACAGGACCAAGGACTCTTGCCAGTATGTAGGATGTTTACAAGGGTGGCTGGTGAATTTATTTCTTAGTGTTGAACACATATATATATATACACATACACATACAAACATGGACAAAGACCAACATATACATGAAACATCAATTGATTTGGAATTAAATTCCAATTTTTTGGTCAATATGTTTATTTAGCCCGACTTGAGTAAATGCCTTGAGTAAACTTGCTTTGTCCAAAACTAAAACAATGGAAAAAGGAACACCGCCTGGAGGTGCAAGTTCAGACGTACATAATCTTTATGTACTGGTATGTAACTTCACAGTCAAGGATATAAATGTGATTCAAATTTGGCCGTCTATCTCCCCTACTCCTGTTATTGATGTCTATTCAAAAGCGAGGTAGTCCTTGAGAAACTTGGGTAGAGCCAGACGGTCCACTTGTGTCAGACATCTTTGTTTGTGGAGCTCACATCTGACCACCAGACGACACAGATGTTGTAGAGATTTCACAGCCACTGGAAGTAAAGCCAAAATAAGTCAGACAATGGTCCCAGCCTACCAAGTGTCAGGATCCTTGCCATCAATTTCTGGTTTATTTTTTTTTATTAGCAATTTAATCCTACACAGTTTAAAGGGCAACAACCCAACTTTGACAGTATTTGAAATATGGGTGGCCTTTTCTTCACAGATTCAAAATTTGTGTATTATGGACAATAATCTTGACTGGTTTGACTTGTGTTCATTGCTTATTTGGCATCTGGGCTAATTAAAGTGTCACCGACGAGATGACCCCAGAACTGGAGTATTGTTGCCCTTAAACATGGGAAATCTACCCGGCATTCCCATACATTCTAGTCCTTAATCTCTTATTTTTTTCAAAATCTCCTCTTTCAAGCAACCAAATTAGTTTTCAGCCATTTACAACTTCCATAAAGTCAATTACAACCTACCCTTTCATAAAGTTTTAACTCAAAATTATATTGCTTCAATTTGTCCAACATGCTACCATGATAAATTATTTACACAACTGTACACAACTGTTTGAACTGATGCAATAAAGTTCTGTAATGACTCTTCAAGTAGCTGTGAGGCAAACAGTATTTGCATCCCCTGGAGCCAGGAGGCTGTTCAGAGCGGGACAAAGGGTTAACTGCAGGAGGACCTGGGGAGAGGGAGATAAGGGAGGGAGCTCAATAGGGTTACATCGGGTTGTGTCACAGGCTGTAAGGGGCCAGGTTTTACTGTATAGGTTATGCAATACCACCAGCTTAGCTAATAAATCACTACAGCTCAATGTGCACAGGGAGGCAGGGACAAAGCAACAAAAGGAGGAATTTAGATGAAATTGGGGGATACGGAATGTAAAGCGATACTGTTCTATGTAATGAGTGTTGGATTGAGCATCATTAAAAAATAGAATCACAGTTATTGCCTCCTGATTCAGAGAGCATATCAACCTCAATTTTGAAAATATTAAATAAGATCAGGTTTAATTTCTTGGGTTTGTTCAGTGTAATGAGTATTTGATTGAACTCCATTCGGAAATAGAATCACGGGTATTACCTCCCGAGTCAGTGAGCATGACATCAAAATTTAAAACTGATCCATGATAAAATCAGTTTTAATTTCCTTTTCCAGCACAAGGGAATTTGTATAATGAATAGTGGTGTCGGGTTCCGGCAACAGGCTCGGAAACCATGAGTTACATCACGGACCTATACAAGTCCGTGGTTACATCCAACTTCTGGTCTCTTTTGATCTGGGGAGAAAAGGGTCTGTCCTTCCAGAACATTACTAGTATCAAGACTAGCAAGCTGCTGGCTGTGTCTGGCCTTGAACAGAGATGGCATTGTGGGTAAAGTCTTTGTATTCAGAGATGGCAGTGAGCTTTTTGTTAAAGGAAGACCATGATCCACGCTCTTGTCCCCCGAGTCTCAACCCTGATTAGCCCCACGAGTGAAGACATTTGTCAGTGTAACTAGGGTAATGATGGACTGTTCAACTGAATCTACATCAAACAAGTTAGGCCACACTCTTTTTAAACTTGCTTTACAGATATTTAACACGAAAATACCTGTCAGTAGGTGGAAATTTAAAAAAAGCATTTCACTTTTTCTTCAGTTTTTTGCTTCACTTCAGGTCGGCTGACATTAAAAAAAATAAAATGGTTTAATGTGTTATGTGTGTGTGTGTGGGGGGAGCCTGCAACACAGCTGTTGCTTTAAGCAATGCAAACCTGATGAATCAAGTGGGAATTCTGTTGTGAATCAATGCATCCTATCAATTTCAGGGACAACAAACTTTATTTTCATTCCCATGTTTAAGATGTTAACTTCAGTGAGTCCTTGTTTAGAAAATATTTTTTTGGTGCAATATGCTATTAGCTTATCAGCAGGAACTCTGAAAAAGATTTTTTTCCATTTCAACAACATTTACAGTCAGTGGATCCGTAAAGCAAGTAAAACTAGTGTGGCTTTAGCAGACAACGGCATGTAGGCCTGAGCTCCTTCCAACTATAGAAACAATACATCTGTCAGCCCAGAATTAACACTTTGTGGGTACATAATACCATTTGAATGATACTATATATTCAGCTTGAATATGTAATGTGGAAATGTCAGGAACACCCCCATTCACATCAATTATAACATGATGCAAACCAGCCTGGTGGGGCTACAGATGAGTAGTGAGTAGTGAGTAAATGTTGCTTTAAGCCGCATCAGCAATATTCCAGCTATTCGCGGCTTGAGGCTACAGATGATGGATATGACGAAGATGTCCAGTGAACCACACCTAGCTTTTATATACTGACAGTCACCGTCTAACACAGACTGGGTCAGAGGGTATAGAGAGCAAGCCTTGCATCAACTATCTGTTTGGAAGATTATTACCGTATTCCACGTAATAAGCGCCCACGGTGATTTTTGCATATATATTGGCCAGTGAACAATCCCAATTAGCACCTCTTCCAAGTGATCAATGTACACAAGACTTATTTATCCGTGTATAATACACACTCGTGTGTTATATGCACCCCATATCATGGGCAATTAAATTCTGGAAAAAAATATCTGTCGTGTCTAATACTCACAGACTTTTCTTTTGTATCATTTCAGGCTGTCAGCATAAACCACGAAATTTACGATCTTTTAACTCTCTTTTTTCACCAAAATTTTATTCTAATAAGAGCCCCCTATTTCTAATTTTGAGAGCGCCCTGGGCGCTTATTATGTTGAATACGGTAGGCCTTATCTTTGCTTTAGTTGGTTTAAAAGACCAACTGACCAAACAAAATGAAATTCAAATTTTTATTGTTGACTCTAAAAAAAATATTAAAATTTCAATCAGGTGAAATGAAAAATACAGGACATTTTATCAGTACTGTTTGTGAGAAATGGTTTATGATACATATATCCTAATGAATAAATGATCTTTTGGTGTTGTTTTGCAGTTATACGTCCATGATGGTGTGACATATTGATGTCAAGCATGCGCCAGAGCTCCCCGAGCTTAAGGTGTCCTGCATGTGAGAACAGGATTTACAAAAGGTTTCCCATCAAGAATTTGAAAATTATTAAACAAATCCCTTTTTTTAATGCATTTATTTATTTTTCTGTTGCATATTACAAATGAATATATCATGATTCTAAAACAAATGCTTTTGACCACCTGCATTGAATTTTAGCCAGAATGTTTCTGAACCAACGAATATAAACTAAAAGGCGTGTGTGTATATGTATAAATATGTGTGTGTGAAGATATTTTATATTAATGACGTGTAGACTTGCAGATGTATTTCAGAAATTACAAGTGTATATATACTTGTATATATTTCAGCTTTTGAGGAAACATGTTCTTGATTTAGTTGTGTTGTAATGTGTATGTGAGTTAAGTAGAAAGTGAGTATCACTAAATACTTATAAATATACAGCAGACCTAGTAAAGAGAGCAAAGCCTTGGCAGTCTGGGTAGGATTAAGTGAACTACCACACATTATTCCTATCTGTTGTTTAGTAGGCTTAGATTGGGCCATTTGTAAAACACCTGTTGAATTCAGAGGTCAAGTGTGAAAAGGTCAGATGAGTGGCAGGGATTTGGATGATTTCAAGTTGCCATAGTGATGGGTACCAAAGGGAAAACATCCTTTGATCTTTTAAACCCTATTGGACCTAGCAATTAAAACTGTTCCATATGATATTAATTGACTTGCTGCTATACATAATGATGCATCTGTAGAACAACACCCCCCCTCATCCCCCGACATTAATTATTAAATCAGATGGTTTCTTTTAACATTTTAAGCAATAACTTGAACACTAAATAGAATGTATGGTAAAAATCTTTGAATGACAATGTTGACATATTCTTAAAACCAGAATATATTTACAATTTATAAATGTAATACATGGAATTTGAATTATACTGAAAGAGCTTAAGACACTCAAATAACAGTACCGTATTCGACATAATAAGCGCCCAGGGCGCTCTCAAAATTAGAAATAGGGGGCTCTTATTACAAAATCATTTTGGTGAAAAAAATAGTTAAAAGATTGTTAATTTCGTGGTTTATGCTGACAGCCTGAAATGATACAAAAGAAAAGTCTGTGAGTATTAGACACGACAGATATATTTTTCCAGAATTTAATTGCCCATGATATGGGGTGCATATAACACACGAGTGCGTATTATACACGAATAAATAAGTCTTGTGTACATTGATCATTTGGAAGAGGTGCTAAGTGGGATTGTTCACTGGCCAATGTATTAGCAAAGCTTGGCATTTGAGAGTTCTATTTTGTCACTGGACAAAAACAGATCTCAGGCACCAGAATACTCTGTATGAGAGGAAAGCCCATAGTCGGCCCATTGTGAAATAAAAAAAAATGAAAATCAAACATAAAAGAGTAAAGATCAAAGGTACATAATATGTAACACTCTTTAATCTCCAAATATCCTTTTGGGTCTAATAGAACCATCTGCCTATAGTGAGCTGGCATAAGGAGACTTTAATGTGCACAAGTAAAGTGTGATATGTGATCAAGACCTATTTGAGGTGCAGAGATTAGCAACATCAAAACCACATGAAGAAGCAGCACCATTAATTAGCACAGAACATGAACACCCACAACTTTCCGGATCATTTAACAAAAGAAAAAAGTACCATCAAAGAAAAAAGACAGCCGCCATTTTTGTATTGTTCCATGTAATGGGGGTATAGAGAGGTGTGCAAATGCATTTGATTACAAAAGAACATATAAGAATGAGATTACATAGGTGTGGAGGCTGCCATTGTGATGAGGAGAACGTTAGTGGATCCTGCCCAAGAGGAACAGAGAGCGGGTCAGGGGAGATAATTGGGTGGAGGTGGAGGCACACCCCATGGGGGACAGCCTGGAGGGGTTGGGTTGGGGAGGACAATGGAGATTGTCAACAATAAATATACAAGTGACACTGACTTAATCCTACATCAATGGCAGGGCAGGAGTAAGGTAGAGGCAAGGTCAAATGTTTTGAC